TTCCCAACACCCAAGTCCTCCCAAAAGGAAGAGTACCTACTTCTATCACTAGTGACTGGGGGGGGGGGGGGGACAAACTTCATAGAATGCCTAGTGATTGGGGAACAGACTCCTAACCCATCCTTCCTCCAAGTCTCTGAACATGTGGCACTGTCCAGGCACAGTGGCAAGATAGAAGCCTCCAGGCCCAGAGGAATGCACTGTATCAGAGCAGGTGAAGAACAACACAGCAGCCAGAGTTTGGAAAATGGTGTTTATTACTCTGACCTTTGCTCTCCATAAAACATAAGGAGTTTTGATTTTTGTTTATACAGTGTGAGTGGCCAGCTTGCAGTGCAAGGCAGTGCTGCTGTTCCAAAAGGGAAAGGGAAGTCCTCACTGATGAAGAAATTACACTATTGAGAATGAAATCAAGAATCATCTGCCGTTACCACTGATTCCACAGCAGCCATTGGCAAGCAGTTCCCACACCTCTCACAGCCAAAGGATCTAGAGCTAAAACACACTTAGATAAATGTCAGGCTCATAACTACTCATCCTCATAGCTCAGGCATGATGAGTAAACAGAAGGAAATGTCCAGTAAACCTTTTCACTTCTTTCTCTTCTTCGCAGAATATAATTTTTCTTCAAGTGGGACTGGGACAATGCCTTCACACTCTTTTACTTCCTGGGTCAGAGGGTGTTTTACAATAGTCGGTCTAATCACATCAGTGTCTCGTGACAAGTGCTCCAATATGGTATCCACAGATGTGGTGGGGGCATAAAAATCCACCAAGAAATACCTGCAATAAAACACAAATTTGTGACTTCTTGAATTCTGAAATACAATTCCACTTTTTGTTCAATGTTTTAACTTTACTTTTCCCAGATAAGACACCAGTCACACACACACACACACACACACACACACACACACACACCTTTGTCAAAACAAACTGCCTGTCAAACATCTGAATGGAGTACAGCAATACATTCAGTCTTCCTTTCCTATGGCCTTTCCCATTAAACTCCTGTGAAAACATACATCAAAATCAACTTTAAGGCAACTAAAAAGCACTGTGAAGAGGGATGAAGGCATGGTTCAATGCTAGAGCACCTACCTAGCAAGTTAGTCAAGAGCTCAGACCCCAGTACTACCAAAAAGAGAAAAGAGAGAAGAGGGGAGGGGAAGGGAGGGAAAGAGAGGGAAGGAGAAGAAAGAGGGGAGAAGGGAAGGGAAAGGAAGGGGGAAGGGGAAGAAGAAAAAGTAAGGGAGGAGAAGGGGAGAGGGCAGGGAGGGAAAGAGGGAGAAAGAGAGAAAGGAGAGGAGAGTGGCATGTGACAGACACAGCAAGTCAGGTACAGCTATGGGTACCAGAACAGAATTTTCTATCAACAGGACTAAATTCCCAAGCCATCCATTGAAGATTTGTGTGTATTTGTGAAAACAACTATTGAATGACCTAATTTTCCACAGGATTTCAAAAGTGCCATGTAAGAGATACAGACAGGCATCAGCTATACTTCACAAATAAAGGAAGATCAGGGAAGGGATGTTCTATGCTTAGGACATTCTATGTTCAAGAACAAAGAACAAAAGGAAAATGACTTGAACTTTATTAAGAAATGATGAATGTTGAAGGGCACCCCAGACAACTCCCTAAATCCTAAAGAAGCCCAGCCTCCCAGAAGCCTACTGGACAACAGCATAGAAAGAAAAGCAGCGTCCTCCCTGCCCACATGGCTCTCCTCTCTGTCCTGAAAGTTTAGGTCTTCATCATGGTTCTTACTGTTCCAGGGAGAACAGCAGTGAAAAAACTAAAACCATGTCAGCACTGTATTCTAAATTCTTAAAATGTTCAGAACAGGTAAGAAAGTCTTTTTTTTTTTTTTTTAAGTACTAGGGCTTGAACTCAGGGTATGGGCGCTATCCTTGAGCCTCTCTGTGCTCAGGTTAGTGCTCTACTACTTGAGCCACAGAGTCACTTTTGGCTTTTTCTGAGTAGTTTATTGGAGATGAGAGTCTCACAGATTTCTCTGTCCCAGCTGGCTTCCAACCATGATCCTCAGATCTCAGCTCCTAAGTAGCCAAGGATTACAGGCATGAGCCACCAGTGCCCAGCAAGAAGGTCTTTTTGACATCATCTTTCATCACACCCTTTGAGAACTCTCAACTGTATTCACACTATTCCTTCTGCTGGAAACGTGCTTTGCCCAACTGTACAAAGTTCACCTCTTATTTCCTCTGTGTCTCAGTCTGAGGACTCCCATGGCCACTAATTACACAGACCCTTCTGTCCCCACCAAGCCTCATCACTCTGCCCCCCTGTTCTGTGCTTCCTTCCTTCCACAGCATTTGATCACCACCAACTTAGTACATATTGACTCACTGCCTCACTCTGCTAAAACGTAACACCCACAGGAAGGACTCAGTTATTATTCCAAGTACTCTAAACAGAAAGCAACACAGGGTAAATTCTGAGTAACGGTGACAGTAGTGGTGCTGGCACTGGGGGTGGAATTCTCACAGAAAGCAGAAAAGACCAAGTTCATCAAGGAAGGACATTGCTAGAAAGGGACAGTGTACTTTGCATAATGCCATACTACAAAGATTGAAAATTTGTAAGACTGACACTCAACTCTTTCTGACAAGCCTAATGGAAAAGTCATGCAAGTCAACGAATAATTAAAAGCAAAGTGACAGAACAACTATGAAGTAAAAATACAAAAAGCGAATGACTATAGGAAGCTAAAGAATCCTTTAGAGTAAAGGAAACTACTAGGAATAAAAAGAGAGAATGGTGGATCCATTAAGAAGATAGAACTAGCCCAAATGTGTATAACCAGACATCAGAGGTCTAACAAGCAGGAGACAAAAACAAACAACTGGACAATTATACCCAGAAACTTAAATTCCTCTCTCAGTAAAAGAGAGAGCTAGTACAGAAAAAATCAACAAGGACTTAGCAAAGTAAAACCCAACATCAACCAACAGACACATACAGAAGCCTGTGCCCAGCAAAATCAGGATACACATTCTTAAGTCCACACAAAGCATGGGCCAAGGTCAATCACATTCTCAATAACTCCAACGGGATTCGAGTGATACCAAGAGATCCTGGGAAAATCCTCAAATACTGGAAACTAAATATACATTTAAATAAACAATCAGTGAGATGAAGAAATCAAAAGGAGAATTACAAAGTAATTTAAGTCAAATGAAAATGAAAACATAACACATCAAAATAATGAAATGCCACTAAAACACTAAAACAAAGAAACCATTGGGGAATTATATAAAATTAAGAAAAAGACTAATTCTAACACACAGAAAAACACACTTCAACCTGTTTTCTGAGTCTAGTGCTACACTATGCCAAAACAAAGATATTTCAGAAAAAGTACACACCATTATTCTTCATAAACAAGGATGAAAATTTCTAAACAAAATTCTTAGCAAACTGATTATTGTATTTGTATGTATATATCCATGTATGTGTGGGTACATGTGTATATATATGCATATATATGTAATAATATAGATGTCCAAGTAGGGTCTATTCTAAGAATGCAAGAGTGGTTTGACCTTTAGGGAGGGGAGGGGGTTCAACCAATATACTTCATCATACTAACAAAAGAAGAAATCTTTGGTAATTTCAGTAAATGTAAATAAAAGAAGCTAAGAAATTCTCATAGCCATTCCTAACAGAAATTCTCAAGTAACAAAGAATACAGGGGAACTTCCTCATTTCTATGAAGGGCATCTCCCAAGATCCCACCACAAATACTTCACCAACTCATTAAGTCTGAGTGATTTTCCCTAAGATTGGGAAGAAACAAGGATGTCCACTGTCTCCTCTTCTGCTCAGCACGGCACTGGAAGTTCTTGCCAGTGCAATAATGGAAGAAAAGGCAATTAAAAGGCATCCAGCTGCATGATTCAACATTATGTCTAACCAGCTCATGTAAGTTTCTCCCCTTCTGCCTTTATAAACTCCCCCCAATATGCTCATACTGTATACATTCACTATGGCATACATACTCCCTAGGCAAAGCTATCTAAGTTAGCATTACTTTTGAGAATCTCTGATTGTTATTTAGGTTGACAACAGGTAGGAATTCTCAGAATTATTTAAAGGTCAATGGTCCCCAAGTTATTCTAGAGATTGAAGAGAACCACAGTCAAAATCCTAACAAACCGATTCTCAAGTTCATCTAGAAGTTCATCAATAAAGAATCATGCTAAAGGACTAATATCATCTGATTTTAAGACTTAAGCAAAACGCAGCAAATAAATCCATGCAATTTCATCTCCAAAATGATCAGCTAAAAGCAGGGCTGGAGGTGTGATTCAAGTAGTCAAGCACTACCCAACCAAGCAAGCCAAGCAAGAGAAAGACCATGAGTTCCCAACCCCAGTATTGCAAAAGACTGAAAAATAAATTATACAACTACATAATCCTTCTATCAATATTAAAACCTATTAAAAAAACAAGCCTCAGACAAGATTTAACATCTGATAAAATAGCTGAATCTACAATATAAAGACTTCTCAAATCTTAACTGAAAATAAAAATAAATCTCTAATTTTAAGTGATGGACCTAAGATTTGAAGAGATAGTGTTTCTTCCTTTTCATTCATTCCTTCTTCTGCCTGGGATTCATGAAAACATCCTTCCACTACCTTGTGTAAGTTCTGGCTTCGCTGCCTGCTTGCAATCCCACCATACTTAAGTAAAGCAGATCTTTTCCCATAGTCTCTCTGGGGAAGTTCCTTCTGCCTTTTAATCTCTTTTGCCTTAGGCCACATAGCCCTGGGATAATAGCTTAAGGTAGTAATGAACACAGGTATAGCATGGCAGGAACTGCTCAGAAAATACCTCTGTCAGACTGGCATATCCCGCCCCTAGCAAATTCACAGACATCTGCCATCTCCTGCGTGAGCCTGCCCTTCCTTACCAGCAGTGCTAAACAATTCTTTTTTTTTTTCTTTTTTCTCTTTTGCCAGTCCTTGGGCTTCAACTCAGGGCCTGGGCACTGGCCCTGAGCTTCTTTTGCTCAAGGCTAGCACAATACCACTTGAGCCACTGCACCACTTCAGGTTTTTCTGTTTATGTGGTACTGAGGAACTGAACACTGAGGAACTGAACCCTGGGATTCATGCATGCTAGGCAAGCACCCTACCACTAAGCCACATTCCCAGCCCACAAGTGCTGAACAATTCTAATACCAGTTCTGCTGTCTTGGTTTTACTGACAGTATTGTTGTAGGAACGCACTTCTCCTATCTCTTATCTCCTTCTCTTATCTCCCATTTGCCTGCATCACAGGCTAAAGAGACACTTTTGTGGAGTAGCCTACAAGTCTAAACATGCTCACAAGAACATGTTCATAGCAGCCAACAAGAAGTACAACCCTCCTCCCAGTCTTCCTGATCAGAGTTCACTATCCATCAGCATTCACCAAATAACCCTGAGAAACACAATTCCACAGCTTGTGATAAGCAAAAGGAATGCCCGAGGATGGAAGCTGGAGGCCAGATATAGCAGAACTTTCTATTAGTGCCTTACACAGCACTCTCTCAACTTTCAAAGTAACACACATCTCTTAGGCAGTGGAAAACCCATTCTAGGTCAGTAAAGGAAATGGCAGAAGGGGAAGTTGGTTTGGGACCAGTAGCTCTCTCTGTGAGGTCTACTCCTGTGGGAGTTTCCTAGAGTAGGGTATCCCACAGAAAAGACTCAGAAAGGTTCCATAATTCACTTTGAGTTCAATCAATTAACGAGCTATAGCCAGGACTCCAA